TCTCTCTCTCTCTCTCTCTCTCTCTCTCTCTCTCTCTCTCTGTCTCTCTCTCTGTTGCACAGTGAAAACAGCTCATGAATTTGGCATGCAGATTGTTGGCCTTGGTTGAACAAGTTTTTGCTGTTGGCTGCAAGACAGACAGACAGACGGACGGAGAGACAGACAGCTAGTCAATCAGCTAGTTAGTCAGTCAGTTAGTCAGTCAGTCAGTTAGTCAATCAATTTAATATGACTGCAGCGCGGCAGCGTGGACAGGCCAAAGGCCTCAGCTAATTACGAAGCCAAGGCGGACGGAGTGTGGCTCTGTCTCGCTCGCACGCAGGCGTGACAAAAGGTCACATCGTCAGGCAGACAACATGGCCGAAAGCGAAAAAAGTCAAAAACCTTTTGGCCAAACCGACACAGCCAATAATGCAACAGCAGCAGCAGCAGCAGCAGAAGAAACCCAAACCAAACTTATTTTACATTTCATGGCTCTGCTGTTTGTTATTGTTGTTGTTGTTGTTGTATGCATCAGTGCGCTTCCAGCGCTTGTCGCGACGTCAGTGGCCTCCAAGTGGCGTCTATAAAATACACACACACGCACACATATGCAGCACACATCGACAGCCGCCGCCAACGCAGCCGCCGCATCAAATGGCCAAAAAGAAACCGCCAAAACGCATGCGCAGCGGCTTAAGCGAAAAAAAAAACACACACACATTTGGAATTGCCAAATGTGAAATACAAATTGCATGCCACACCCGCTAAGACAGCTGAGCAACCGGCACCGCCCCCGCACGCCTCCTGCCTCTGCCCGCTGCAATCGGCAATTGGCAATTGGCCTTTCCAAAACGGGCTCGAAGAAGACAATGGAGCTAAGACTGTGGCCTGTGTCTGTAACGGCTGGCGCATTCATAAAGTCATACATTCAAACACTCACTCGCACACACACTCACTCACACACTCATTCGTCCATTCACTCAGGCATTCAGTTAGTCAATTGCACATTCGCCTGGGCCCAACGACGAGTACCCCTAAACACACTTACATTAATAGTGCTCAGTGCCCCGTTACTTGACACACACACACACACACACACACACACACACACACACACATGCAAACACACACTTGTAGGCAGTTAATCAGTCATTCACATTCACAGCACTTTGTTAAGTGCTCTCTGACATTGTCAGAGACAGTGGGGCAAGGCCAATAGAATATGCCAGAAAATTTCTCAGTTCCTTGAGCGAGCAAAAAGTAATTCGAATTGAAAATATTTCTATAAAGTAGAATATTGAAGCGGAAGTGAAAGTGAATGCAATTATACATAAAGGGGCGTGGTCAGCCTTGCAGTAAATCGAAAGGCATATGACAAATAGATGGGAAGAGAGAGCGAGAGAGAGAGAGAGATGAGGGAAGCCGACAAAGTCAAGCAATAGACATATAAATTTATATACATACAGTGGGCGTCACTGAAAATCGTACATCTATTTAAAATGCATTCTTTAGAAAATAATATATAATTAAAAAAATAAATAAAAATTAATTTCGAAATTAACATGGCTTTATTAATATGTTTACTTCATATTGAAATAAAATAATAACGAAATTCAAGTTGAAAACATTTTCTAAAAAATCATTTCGTCTTCGGCATCGTTCATTGAAATCGTATATATATTATATAAGACACAATTAGCGCCCTTATTAAGCAATCAATTAGCATATAGATACCATTTTAAGATGTTAGTAATCTGTATTAGTTATCTATCCATTTTGTGATGAATCACATATACTTTAACGCTTCAATCACTCACTCTTTATATATCGTAATTGATGGCTTCATAATTTGCCTCATTTCCCTCAAGCCGTTATTAGAGTCTCGCTATGCTCAGCAAGCACAACTCGCGCATTGCAGCGGATGTACAGTTACGTATTTCCCCTTTTGGGCATGCTCATGCCACACAGTGAGCACATGTGTCGTACCACTGTGCCTTTGCCAAATTATTGCACACTTGTGCCGCTGCTGCTGCTGCTGCTGCTGCTGCTGCTGCTGCTGCTGCTGAGAGAGGTGCGCTGTGCGCTTTGTCACCTCAAGCATAACATGGCCAAGAAGTCGGACAACTGCCCTAAGAAAAAAGCAAAAGCAATCGAGAAACGCAAAATTTTTACTTTTGCTTTTGGACCACCTGCCCCATCTCCCTCTCGCCCTCTCGCCCCTCGCTTCGGCCCATTCCCTTCTTGCGGTCTTCCAAACAATTTGCAGTGTGATGTGTGCAGACATAATTATAACTTTTCTTGGGCAGCATTGTTGCCGTCGCTTGGGCTATTTGGGCTGCCTTTGATTGTTGCTGCTGTTGCAATTAAAATAAGTTGAAGTTGTCTACCTTTACAACGAGCTGTTGCTGCTGCTGTTGCTGCCGCTGTTGCCGCTGTTGCTGTTGCTGTTATTGTCGAAACTTGTTTGAGTGAAACACAAAAAACTGAAAAAAAATTCAAAAATGTTAAGCGAACGGCTTCAAACAACGCGATGCCAACTGCACATAATTCAAAATGTTAAAAGTTATCGTCAAGAGCGTGCAGAGGGTAGAGCCATATATCTGTCATACACACACACACACACACACATATATATATATCGATCCGACCCGTCGTCTGCTCTTTAAATATCGCATGGCGTCGTCTCGAGCTGTTTGCCGGCTTTGGCGTCTGGTTTCTACGAACGAAATCGAAATTGAAATCGTAATCGAAATGGGTTAACACCTATGGCAGGGAACCGGTTCCAGTTCACATTTGAACACACTCACATTCAACAGATTCCTGCCGGATTCGCCCTCTGGTCACTTCACTTTAGGTGGTTTGCCTTGAGCATTCTCTGGCTCTCCCTACCTCTCTCTCTCTCTCTCTCTCTCTCACCTTTGTCGCTTTCGCCTCTCACTCTTTACTTGATTAGCATTTTCCAACTGTTTACCTATCCATTTTGTATGTTGAGTGCATTGCAATGCGGATTCGCAAAGCCCAATGAACTATTGCTGCAATTGCACGAACAACGAACCAAGATCCGTCCGTTAGACAAGGCGATCGCATGCGCAACACCACAGATACATCGACATAGAGTGAGAGAAAGAGAGAGAGTGAGAAAGAGAGAGGGGGTGCAGGGGATAGGGAGAGTATGATCGCGATCACAGTTGGTAAACGTTGTGCCTGCCAGACAGCATGGCTAATGAAATTGTGAAAGGTATTTCGAGACTCAGACAACAACAGCAAATGATGCAGCACAAAGACTCTTCGTCTATGGCCCCAAACATGATCAGTCATTAAAAGCACGCGATGATCTTGGGCTAAGCCAAATCAATCAGCACTTGGACCGTAAGCCACACCAATCTTTTCTTTTGTTTGCATCGTTTCTCTCTCTCTCTCTCTCTCTCTCTCTCTCTCTCTCTGTCTTCATATTGGGCGTTGTTTGCTCAAATGAGCCAATTATGATCAAATTTGATTATAGCTTTAGACTTAGATGCAGAGAAGTCGTGTGTGTATATCTTAATGGGAAACTAGATCAAGGGCTGGCCAATTAAAGCTTGGACGTTCGTTTGTTAAAGTTCATGTTTATCCAATTAGTTACGTAACACAAACAAGTCTTTGTTTAGCGATATTATTTACTTCTTAGTCGAAATATCTTGGTATTTACTTTTAAGCGTATGATCTATCGAAACTACTGCTGAGTCTTATCTCTTTCATGCCTCTTTGATCTCCTCTGCATTGTGTCCATTGGTCTCTTTTTCTTGGTCTGTATCAAAACCTTTTAACATTTTCCTTTTACTTTGTCCCACAGTCATTAGATTTCAGTCTTGCCCCACTCGAGTCTCTACTGCTTGGCCCCTTTTTCCTGTCCTATTATTTTTATTCGGGCTTGCTTCAGCTTGATAAATACCATGAGCTTCTTTTAGAACGAGTCATCCCCATGCTCTACTTTATATAATAGCTTCACACTTAGCCTTAAACACTTTCCACTCCTCCAATGTAAAGTCTTGATCAGTCTATAAGACCTTCTTTAGGGTGTAGGAACCACCATCTCTGGCCCTATATATTTGTATAGAGAAAAGTCGGGGAATTTCGATAATATTCAACTAATGCTCAATTCCCTCATCTTTTACAGTTGTCTAATGGGCTGCCTGGCGCTACTGGTGGCCGGCGAGGAGCTGGCTGTGGGCGCATCAGAGAAGCTTGAATCGAATGCGCCGGCGACAAGCGGGTTCGAGACAGCGCACAAGGTGCCGGAGGCGAATGCGTTGAACGATGAGGGTTTCCACACGGCGCACAGGATCAGCATTCGGGCCACAGACACGGCTGACTACTCCATGAATTTGCTGGCTACCAAGGAGCGGCCCGAGCTGAATCCAGTGCTCAGTGCGCTCATCAACGAGGACGTCATGAAGAGCATCGAGGCCAAGCGCGCCATCGAGGAGGAGGAGCTGGCCGAAGTGCGGCGCGAAATCGAGCAAGCAGCGCTCGCCGAGCTGGCGCTGAAGAGCAGCGGCGCTGGCGTCACAGAGCAGCCCGCCCTGCAGCTAACCACACAGGCAACGGCGGCCAAGAAGATAGACAATCTGGATGATGACATGGTGGTCGATCCGCACGACGACTTCGTCAATCAGAACTTTGCGCTGGACGGCGCTGGCAGCGAGACCAACAAGAAGTCGCGCATCGAGATCAAGAAGGGACCCAACGGCCAGGACTACGAGTACGAGTATGTCTACTACTATGAGGAGGACGAGGATGCCGATAGCAAGCCGAAGGCAGCCATCGATGCGCCCGCTGCCGTCGAGGCGCCCGCAGACCTCACGCCCGAGACGCGCGGCAAGACCCGTTATTCCAACATCGATCGCAGCACCCCGGCCACGCCCAGCGAGAACAGCCTGCAGAGCGGCAAGGCCAAGGGCAGGGCCTCGAACGCCGTCAGCCCCGACAACAGCGAGGACATCGAGGCGGAGCGTCTGCCCGTGAACACGCGCTTCCCCAGCCGTGGCAAGAACATCGATGTGCAGCCAACGCCGGCGCTGGATTCGCTGGAGACGGCCGCCGAGCGCAAGAAGATCAGCGTGAAGCGACCCAGCCTGGAGCTGGTCGACAGCGAGACCTTCAACACTGACGAGAAGCAGCTGAAGGGCTCACGCAACGGCGACAAGGAGCTGAAGCCCGTGATTGCCGTCGAGCAGGAGCAGGCAGCCGCTGCTGCTGCAGCTGCGGCCGCCGCAGCCGCCAAGCAGGAGGAGGAGCGTGATATCACGGCCAAGCTAGACGATGAGGCCGAGCAGACGACACCATCCATGGAGAAGGCCGCACTTGATCTCTATGCCATACTCACCAACGAGAATCTCAACAACGATGAGACCACCTCAGCGGATATGAATGACGAAACCACGCTGAGTCCCGACACCGCCAGCACCGACAGCGACGATGCGGGCCTGACCACGCTGCAGGATGAGCTGTCCTCGACAACGACGACGACCACAACAACAACGACAACCACCACAACCACCACAGAGGCACCCACCACCACAACGACAACAACAACGACTGCGGCCCCATCCTTGTACGGCAGACGGGCGGGTCTCAACAGTCTGGCTGGACGCAATCGGTTCAAGCTGCGCGACAGCCAAGGCAGCAGCACCACCACCACAACCACCGAGTCAACGCCCACGGAACCCACCAAAACTGGCCGAAGTAAGTGTGCAGTGGTATACAAGTTGGAGTTAGGCTTCAGAAGGAACCAGAACTGGTTCATTTGTAATGCAACCCTAGTTAGAGGCATTCACTAATCGATTTCTCTTCACAGATCGCTTCTCACGTCCCTCAATTGGCGGACGTTCCCGCCCTGGTGCCCGCACCACCGCCAGCCCTGAGCACGCCGCCGAGCCCGCTGCCGAGGAGGAAATCGTAGCCACGAAGGAGGTGAAGCCCGTTAGCTCCGGCTTTGCACGTGGCAGACGTAAGTTCAAAGATGCGAAATTGGATTTCCTAAGCTACTCTGTTGATACTATTAAGTAACTGAATTAGTTCAGTGGATCAAAGAACGAGTCAGCTCGACTGGAAAGCAAATTCCCTGCTGCTGATCGTAGAACCGTAAACCGACTTGTAAACAAAGCTGCAGTTGCGGATCAGTGAACTAGTGTTGGGAGCATTATTTATGACCAATTTAGATTATTGGACGAGCTCTAGTTCTTGATGGCAGAGCTAATTCAGTAGATAATCTTGATGAGTCAGCGGATACAGTCAATTCCTGTTGCAGTTTACTGAACTAGAATCAGCTACTAGAGTCCATTCCAGTTGCAGTTTACTGAACTAGTTCAGCTCATTTGCTAGTTAATCGGCTCATTCTATCGAATCAGCTACCAGAGTCCATTCCAGTTGCAGTTTACTGAACTAGTTCAGCTCATTTGCTAGTTCACCGGTTCATTCTATAGAATGAGCTACCAGAGTTCATTCTAGTTACAGTTTACTGAACTAGTTCAGCTCATTTGGTAGTTCATCGGTTCATTCTATAGAATGAGCTACCAGAGTCCATTCCAGTTGCAGTTCACTGAACTAGTTCACAATTCACATAGTTCTAGCTAGCATAAAACTAAACCACATCTCGCTTCCATCTTGCAGCACGCAACCGCTTCAATCTGCGAGGAGCCAGCACAACCACCACCGAGAAGCCCGCCGGCGCTGAGGAGGGCGGCAGCGATGCCAGCTCCGCGGACGCCGCGCCCAGCAGCACAACGGCCCGCAGCACACTGCGCAATCGTCCCGGCCTGAATCTGCGCGGACGCAGTCGCACCACCACAACGAAAGCGCCCGCCGCCGACGGAGCTGGCGCTGAGGAGGCCACCGATGCAGAGAGCAAGGCAGCAGCGCCTGCGGCCGAGCCCGTGCGTCCGTCTCGCTTCAACTTGCATCGCGCCGGCGGCAACCGACTGCTGCCACGCGGCAAGCTGGGACGCGCCGGCGCCACCACGGAGGCGCCCAAGGAGGCGGCCGAGGACTCGGCGGCCGACAGCAGCAGCCATCACAACGACGTGAAGGGCACCGAGGGAGCGGACGGTGGCAGCGACTCGGCCGCCGAGAAGACTGACGAGGGCGATCAAGCGGCCAACCACGCTGGACCCGTGTCCGGCTTGAATCGCCTCAAGAACCGACCGCGCCTCAATGCGCTGCACAAGACTGACGCGGCCAAGCCCAGGGCAGCCGCCGCTGCTCCAGGCGCAGCTGCTGGCACATCTCCCGTTGCAACAGCACCGCGCAAAATCAATCCGCTGCTGGCCAAGCGCCGTCTGCATTTGGGCGCAGCGGCTACCTCAACCACAGGTAGGGCGCAGATAGCTCCAATATACATAGCAGCTTTCACTCAACCTGATTCGCCTTTTTCCACTTTTACAGAGGCGCCCGCTGAGAGCGGCGACGGCGCCGATGCGTCCGGCGAGCAGTCCGGCAAGGAGGAACAGTCGGCGTCCGCAGCAACCAGCTCGGACGAAGCTGCCGGCGATGCGGCCAAGGAGCAGGAAACCACAGAGGCTGCGGAGGCAACCACCAAGCAGCAGGCGCGCGGCTTGGGACTGCTTGGCCAGCGTCGTCGCCTGCCCCTGCGAAAGCCAGGCACCATACTGTAAAGCCCCCTCAAATGACACAGCGCAAGCAGCAGGAGCCGCAGGAGCCGTGGCACGGCCCACTTCCCCTGCCACTCCCACTGCCATGGCCACAGCCACTGCCAGAAGGCGGAAATGAAAGTTTGCAACGGATGTGGCAGTTGCCCCAAATCCTGTTCCCTAATTCCCTATATATATCCCAACCTCTTGCCCCGCCATTTGCGCCTGCCAATCGCCTCACCCTCTTTCTCTGCCCTCTAGAACTAGCTCTTTCATTTGCCGCTTATCCTCCTAATTGGATGGCTCGCACCATCCAGAGCCAGCGATAATAATTCCTCCAATTTATCCCCCATTTGCGAAATGTTTCTCTCGTACTACAAATATTTTGCATGGGCTCCCGCTCCCTGCCCGACTTTTTTGTTCTGTTCTTAAAACGCAATTAGCTTTTTACACATACAATAATTAAAGTAAAATATTGAAATATTATTTAAGTTGCCCCACACTCTCTTTGCGAAAACTGACAAAAAGAAGAACACGAAAAGTCACCAAAACGAATAAAGAAACAAATAAAAGAAAATGTGAAGCAAAAGCGAAACGCCACTTCTAGAAACTTAAGTTGAATATGATCTATGAAATGAAATACATAATTATATATGGCCTATGATATATAATAGATCAGATGTCATGAATCTGATAAATAATAGTGATGCACCACATATGATACATGATGTATGAGATATAATGCATGATTTACCAAATATGTCATATATCAGATATCATATGTGTATGTATAGGATGCATCATTTTAAATCTATGACAATTTCAGAGATCTTAGGGTCCCAGTTATGAAAACCTATGAAATTATGTGAATACCAAGATATATCACAATACCCACTCCCTCAATACTCTCGCTCTCTCGACTATGTTTTATAATCCTTTTTTTTTTTTTGATACAATATAAACAAACGACTCTTAATTATATATTTTTAAATAAAACATTAAAAAAATTTAAAAAAAAAAACACGTTAATATATTTAAGTACATATTTGTTGAAAAATTTCCAGCAATATTGTGAACAAATCGGGATCACCTATATTTAAAGGTCTTTGCCTGTTGACAAGTGGACAGCCCCTAGCACTGTGAAAGAGGCTATACATAATGTATATTATTCAAATATGCGATATTCAAGTCTGGATGGACTCGCAAGAGTTTCTTGGCTAAATCCTATACGAAACAGAATCTAATTGGCAGCTGCTTATTAGACAAGTTGGCAGCATCGACAATGGGGGCGAAAGCGTTGCCACCTGATTCTCGGCAATAGCCAAGCACATTGATTGCGCCATTTGGCCAAATGTGTCCCCGTCGAGCGGAAATCAACACGTGCACGTGCATTTATTGGCCCTTTGGGTGCGAGCTGCGTACATTTGGCCTGGAGAGGCAAACATTTGGCTCGCATTTGCAGTCGGGCCAAAGTGCCGGCAAATTAGCAATTCATAAACAATCGGTCAGCATCGGTTTCGATTTCCCCCTATTTATGCACTCGACTCGACTCGACTTGACTCCACTCAACTCGAAATAACTCACTCGATGATGGCCGACTTCGGTTTTTGGCCAACTTGCGATTGTGCGCAGTGTCGAGGCAGCCGAACGCGAATGCTGAGCGCAAATTGAGCGCTTCTTGTGAGTTGAGTAATTGAGCGAAATGTACCGTTATTTTGTGCAGCACGTGCCACCAGCAACAGCGTGCCACAGACGTAAGAGAATGCCTGACTAGCAGATACCCTAAACACCTTGACAAGTCGACTTCATTCGATATAGATAATAATATATCATTTGATATAATATTATTATGTTATATGTACAAATATACAATAGAATTTCCAGAGCTGAACTAACGAGCAAACAGACATTTGGACTGGCGTATGAAAAGTACCCCAACTAAAGGCAGAAGAGCAGATGACAAAGTACGGATGGGTGTAGGAGAGCTGAGAATGCATATACGGATGGAGACGACAACGTATAGACGAATGGACATACGGGAAAGGGTATGGTCAATGGATGAACGGGCAGACACGTCGATGAACAGATAAACTAGGCTTATATTTATAACTAAGTCAGCTCAGTTGCCAATCGTAATCAGAGCCAATCATGCCTGCTTCTGCTTCTATTATATGTACATACATACATACATACATATCTATGCTCCACTGAGGCATTTACTAGGGAGTCAATGATATCAAAATAGGGTAGGTTTCACGTTGACTCCATTTTCAGCAGGCTGACCAAATTGCCAAGACTTCATTTCCCATTATCTATGCGCACAGTGGAGCACAATGAAAGGAATGACTCTGCTCTAGATTTACTTTAATAAATTACAGATAAATCTCTTCTAATTACATAAAACTTAATTTTTACGTGTTGATACAAGATTTGAGTACTACTCAATGAATTCACATGTATATATAAAAATATAGATTTTTATTTTTATCAAATATTCTACTTAGTAAGACGTAATTCGATTGCCTTGACTAAGTTCTATGAAAAATATATGCATATTTTTAGTCAGAGCTTCCATACCTGCCTCATTATCCATCTGCATATTATTTATGTTTTACCACGTTACAATCTTCCACAGCATTGTGCATATCAGTTATGTTAACGTTACGTGAAATTCTTACGCGCCTTCTGCTTAGATGATCCGTAATCTGACCTAAACGAAATGGAAGTTCAATATTTATCAAAACATATACCAACTGTATAACTCTTTCAATATGTTCGGATTTGGGGCTTTTAAATGACGTAATGCTTGGTAACGCATCTGGCACACGCTCGTTACGTTACGTAAGAGCAACGTGCGAGTCACGTAAGCAGCAGAAATGTAGAGCACAGTCTAATAACAATAAGCAGATGAAGTAGCTACACGAGTTGCAATTACTGCTAGACAGAGTAAGAGAGAGAGAGAGAGAGAGAGAGAGAGAGAGGGAGAAAGAGAGTTGTAGTGAGCGAGGGAGAGGGACGCCCCCGCCTTATTGCAGCTCAAATAAGAACCGAATGATGTCAAGACATTGGCCCACTCCAGACCAACTATTGCAATATGAAATATGTATTTATCTGTTTGTTCATCTCATTCCCTCCGCCCCTCTACCTATCACCCTCCCTCTCTTTCTGCCTCTCACACCTACTCCGCTAAGAGCTTGGCATATAAAAGCGAGACAAGCGCGTCGAGAGGCAAGCAAATGAATTCAACATGCAGCTCGAGTGGATTATTTGTGTGGCTCTCGTTCTAGTTGGCAGTCAGACAAGTCGCACCACTTGCACCACAAACACAACCACATCCGACACCACCAGCAGCAGTGGCAACAGCTCCTCATCTGCCGCCGATCAGTTGCGGCAAGATATCGAACGTTTGTGGGCGCCCGCCTTGCAGGCAATCAATGAAGCTGAATTACAGCGGCTCAGCAAGCGGCCCCACGCCTCCTCCGCCTCATCTGGCTTATCCCTGCCCCAGCGCACGAACAGCAAGCGCATGAGATGGCGCCTCAATAGCAAACTGCTGGCCAGACAGGCTGAGCAAGGGCTGCAAAAACTGGAGCCGCGATCGGTCACATATCCGTCCAGCGCGCCCGAGGAGAACAGTCCGAATCCCTCGTATATCGATGTTAAGGACAATGAGCCGGCGCCAGCGGCTTGGTGGTTCTGATAGCTATCGATCGTATAATATATCGCACTATCGAACATGAACTATCGATATATAATTTATAGTAGTTGTAGTAAAACATCTTTTTTTATTGTTTTTTTTTTTTTTGTTATGCATAAGCTTTAGTGATTGTCTCAGCTCCTGTGCTTTTGCTTATTAGCCAAGACACAAACCGCACGGTGCGTAGCAGCCACCTTTTGAGTATGTGCAAATAAAAATTTGTGCTTGTGCTTATTAATTTAGCTGTTAATATTTAAAAATAAATTTAATATTTATATTATATGCAATAATTGTATTTTTAGACAGATGAGACTGTAAAAGATAGAGAGAGAGAGAGAGAGTTATCATTTTTGGCAACAATTGCTGATCTACCTCAGTCTGACACGCCCACATCTCAGCTAGGGTATCTGGCAGTCGCATATCTCACCTGAGCCGCCCGACAAAGTGAAATGCCGAATTATGATGTGATTGATTATGATTTTGATGGGGATTTTGAATTTGAATTCGAATTTGATTCCAATGCCATCTGGAGGGCAGTCGCTGGGTCACTTCGCCACTTTGTATGTTTTGTCGGCTAATTTGCAGTTTGCGCACTTTTCTTGGATCATTACGCAGCAGCCGCAACAACAACAACAACAACAGACAACAGTTGGCAAAAATTCATAAGCAAATTAAGTTGCGCTTGGCTTTTGGGCCAATTCATTGGCAGCCTTGGCGTTAGGGCGTATACGTAATCGATCTTAAGAAAAGTCAATTCAAACCGCATACTTGGCATACCTAACTGGCAAATACCCTCCATACAAAGAGAGAGAGTTTGTTGCTTAATTTAGCTCTTTGAGTTTTTTCAAGTTCTCTTCAGGCTCATTGGAAGCTTAGATCAATGAGAAAAGAATTCTCTCTTCTATTCGATGATTCGATACTAACAATTTTCTAGTATTTCACACTTCGGCATTCTTCGAATTTTTGAATCTTAAACTAAAACTAAACAATTCAGACTTGAGCTAGATGTGTACATAGTATGGTCTAGAAACCTCTAGAAATATATTTCTGTGGCACTGACCATATTGACTACCGTCTGTTGCCAACAATTTTGCATGCGATTTGCATAGTTGTTTTTATACCCTGAACCCATTGAAAATGGGAAATCAGGGTATAATGTTTTTG